CTGGACTGACCTATCCCCTTCCTAACTCCCTACCTACACTCACCTTTCCTGGCCCCATCCCCGCCTCTTCGACCTGTTTGTTTCTTCTCCACCTATCCTCTCCTCTATCCCTCTTCTATCTGCCTCCCACTCTCTCCCTATTTATTTCAAAACCCCCTTCCCCTCCCCCTTTTCTGGTGAAGGGTCTAGGCCCGAAACGTCAGCCTCTCTGCTCCTATGATGCTGCTTGGCCTGCTGTGTTCATCCAGCCCTGCACCTTGTTGTCTCTATATCACTTTGTGCTATTGATTTAACATCATTTTCTTACCAACCTTCCCCCTCTGCCCACCTGCCTAGTCTTTCGTTTGGACTTCTTTTCTTCGAAATTTAGTTCCCAACCCTGATCCGCTTGTTACCATGTCTCTGTGTTACCCACTACATCATACCTGCCAATTTCAATCTGCACTACAAGCTCATTTACCTTGTTTTGTACACTGCGTGCATTTAAATACAGCACCCTCAGTCCTGCATTGACTGTCCCCCTTCTCATAGTTGTCCCCTTTATCTTCTGTGCCTGAAGTTAGATTCCTGACCCTTTTCATAATCTGTGCTATTACTTGTTCTGGAAACATTAAAAACCTCTGCTGATCCCTCCATCCCCCCATCTTAACTTTTTCCATAATTTTCCATGTTACTGAACCCAAACCCCAACTATTTAGCTTAAAGCTCTATACAGCCCTGGTTATGCAATTTGCCAGAACTCAGCATGATTTAGGTGGAATCTGTCCCATTGGAACAGTTCCCTCCTTCCCCAGAACTGGTGTCAATGTCCTGTAAATTCAAACCTGTTTCTCCCACACGTTTAGCACTTTAATCTTGTTGACCCTATGCCAATTTGCTTGTCGTTCAGGTAGTAATCCAGAGGTTATTACTTTTTTGGTTTGCTTTTTAATTTAGCCCCAGCTGCTCATATTCCCTCAACAGAACCCCTTTCCTCTTTCTATCTATATTGTTGATACCAACGTGGGCCACAACAACTGGATCTTTCTCCACCCACTCCAAGTTTCTCTGCAGCCCAGATGAGATATCCTGAACCCTGGCGCTAAGCTAGCAACTGAGCTTTTGGGACTCTCAATCCGGCCACAGAGAACAGTATCAGTTCCCCTGTCTGTAGTATCCCTGATTACAATTACATTTCTCTTTTCCTCCCCCTCTTTTTGAATGGTTTCCTGTGTCAAAGTGCCATGGTCAGTTTGCTCATCCTCCCGACAGACCCCACTCTGTCCACACCAAAGCAAGAATATCAAACCTGTTAGACATACCCCATAACTGATGCTCCTTCAACACTGCCTCCTGGATCCAGCTACCTGCCTCACTGATAGTCACACCCTCATGAACCTGACTTCTGACCAAATTTGAGGTAGTTGAGCTAAGGGGTGTGACTGCCTCCTGAAACAGAGCATCCAGGTAACGTTTCCCCCTCCGCGATGTGTTACAGAGTTCAAAGCACAGACTCCACTCAACAACTCTAAGGCAGAGTTCCTCAAGCAACCAACACTTGCTACAGATGTGGTCACTATGAAACACAATAGGATCCACCAGCTCTCTCATCATGCAGGTATAACAACACATCACCAAACCCAGCATGTCTATTTTAATTATTTAGTTCTGAATTTGATTTAAAAAGAATTTCATACTGGTCTTCTCGTTCCCCTATTTACCTTCAATCTGAAAGTAACCTATAATAACGAAATTATTAGCCATCACCAATCAATGACCTTGTGGTTTTCCTGTGGTGTCACTCTTTTGGGCTGGACCCTGAACCTGTGCTTTAATTTATTTCAGGCTCTGTCTCACTCTCAATGTGATCTCTCTTTCCTATCAAGGTGGGGATCAAGCCTGCTTCAAGACATGGATAACATCCAGGCTTGATAATAAATGGCAAGTAATGCTAAACAAGTGCCAGGCAATGACCATCTCCAGCAAGACAGAACCAACCATCTCCCCTTGAATTTCAACATAATTACCACCATAGGTTCAACCATATAAACATCTTGGGGTGGTGCGGGGTGCTTTACCATTTGCCATTTACCAGAAATCAAGCTGGATGAGCCATTTAGTACTGTGGCTATAAGAACAGGTCACAGGTTGGGAATTCTGCAGCATGTAACTCCCCTCCTACCCCTGAAAACCCCTCTATCAAGGCACAAATCAAGAGTGTGGTGCAATAACTCCCACTTGCCTGAATGTGTGCAGCTCCAACAATGCCGAAAGATGACCCCATCCAGGACAAAGCATCTTATCTCCAACCTTAATCATTGCCTTCATTCACTGTTGATGAACAGATGCACTACAGCAATTCACCAAAGCTCCTTAGACTGTACCTTCTACCCCCTGCCCCCACCAAATCATTCCCATTTAGAAGGGCAAGGGCAGCAGATCTATGGCAACACCAACCCCTGCAAACTTCCCCTCCAAGCCACTCACCAGCCTGACTTGGAAATATATTCTTTCAGTTTTACTGGGTCAAAATCATGAAACTTCCTCCCAAACAGCATTATTCGTCTATTTTCACCACATGGTTTGCAGTCAACACCATGTGATCACAGAACTCTGATGAAGGGTCCTGACCCGAAACGTCAACTTTTTTGCTCCTCTGATGCTGCGTGATCTGCTGTGTTCCTCCAGCTCCACACTGTGTTGACTCTGACTCCAGCATCTGCAGGTCTTGCTGTCCCACATGGTTTGCAGCAGTTCAGAAGGCAGCTCACCATGACGGCTTTAAGGGTAGTTGCAATGGACAATAAATGCTGGCCAAGCAGGTGACGCCCACTGCCTGAGAAATTTTTTTTAAAATTGTAGGTCAGCATGCCAAGAGCAGTGCTAAGCATGTCATTAAATGAGATCCCAAAAGGATGAAGCCACAACCTTTTGTGCTCCGAGAAAACAACTTGAGCTTATCTAGCCTCGTAGCTGAAGTGTTTCATCTATGTCAACATCCTGGTGAATATCTTCTGCACCCTCTCCAGTGCAATCACGTCCTTCCTATAGTGTAGCAACCCAGAACTGCATAGAATATTCTAGTTGTTACCTAACCAAAGTTCTGTACAAGTCCAATATAACATCTCTGCTCTTCTACTCATAAAGGCAAGTATCCCGTATGCTTCCTTAACTACCTATTAACTTGCCCAGCCACCTTTAGGGATTTGCAGACAAGCTTGCAAAAGATTCAGTGGGGACTTAACAGAGCAGTGCAAAATTTTGAGGAGCCTGGGAAGAGTATATGAGGAGAGAGTGTTTCCATTGGCAAAAGGATTTACTCACAGCTAATTTTTGATTCCCATGGAAGTTTGCTGGGAGGGATTACCAAGGTAGGAGCTGAGGCCTCTATTGGGCAAGCCATGATCTCATTGAATAGCAGAACAGGCTTGAGAGACTGAATGGCCTACTCTTTCTCATATTCCTTGTGAAGCAGATAACATCGACTTGTGGTGATTGTCATATAAGGCAGTGGTGACGTGCTTGTGGTTAAGATCCAGAAACTTCCATCATAGAGAAGAGTTGATGTAGATTCGGCAGTGGCTTTCAAAAAGAATTGGATTATTTTCTTGAGAGAAAGGTTTGCAGGGCTACAGGAAAAGCCGGTGGAGTTGAACTGGTTTGAGATACACTTGCAGAGAGTCAGCATAGATACAATGGGCTGAATAACATCCTTCTTTCCTGTAACCATTCTATTATTCATGCCTTAGCATGAACAAGAATAGACAGAACAACAACAGAGTGCAGAGTTAAAACATGACTCAACTGGATTACTGTGCACAACTCTGGGCACTAATCTTGAGGAAGGATGTCAGGGTTCTATAGAAGTTACAGAGAAAAATCACTAGGTAGAGGAATAAAAATAAAAAAGACTTGAAATACTCACCAGGTCTGGCTGCATCTATCGGACATAGAAACCATGTTAACATTTCAGGTCTGTGACCTTTATGAGAGCCCACAATTGCAGTATTTTCTTTTTGTACAGGGATGTAGAATGTCAGTTATGTAGAGAGACTGGAGAAACCTGGATTTTCTCCATGGAGCATAAGTTAAGCGGAGTTAACAAGTTGTAACGCAGGAAATCTGTAGTCAGTTTATACACAGCAGGATCACATGTGAGCATTGTGATAAGGGCAAGATACTCTGACTGTTGATTCCTGTGTTTCTTCCATCCTAGGGCAATGTTCACCGGGGGAATGCGGGAAGCAGGCCAGAATATCATTGAGTTGAAGGGTGTGTCTGCCAGGGGCCTGAAACACGTCATTGATTTTGCATACAGTGCTGAGGTAACCCTGGACCTAGACTGTATTCAGGATGTGCTGGGAGCTGCAGTCTTCCTGCAGATTGTGCCCGTGGTGGAATTGTGTGAGCAGTTCTTGAAGTCAGCTATAAGTGTGGAGACTTGCCTTAACATTGGGCAGATGGCCACCACCTTCAGCCTGTCCTCTTTGAAAGAATCAGTGGATGTTTTCACCTTTGCTCACTTCCTACAAATTGCTGAGGAGGAGGATTTCCTGCAGCTTCCCCTTGAAAGACTCATCTTCTTTCTGAAGAGCAACAAGCTGAAAAATTGCAGTGAGGTTGACCTGTTCCACGCTGCTATCAGATGGTTGCAGTATGATGAGTCTCGACGAGCCAATGCACATCTGGTCCTGTGTCATATCCGCTTTCCCCTGATGAAATCCTCTGAACTAGTGGACAATGTCCAGACACAGGCTGTGATGGTGGAAGACCCTGTGTGTCGTCACTACCTGCTGGAAGCATTCAACTACCAGATCCTGCCATTCCGCCAACATGAGATGCAGTCTGCTCGGACCAGAATCCGATCAGACACTGTCTCCCTTGTTGCCTTTGGTGGCACTCCATACACTGATAATGATCGGACAGTCAGTTGCAAAGTCTTTGCTCTTGCTGACGGGAATGCACGTCAGTTCATGGAGAGACCAGAGATGGAGATAGGCTGTAGTCACGCCTGCATTGCTGTCTTGGATAACTTTGTATATGTGGTGGGAGGTCAGCATCTACAGTACAGGAGTGGTGAAGGAGCAGTCAGCTGGTGTTTCCGTTATGATCCCCATCTCAATCACTGGTTACGGATTCGGTCCATGCAGGAAGGTCGCATTCAGTTCCAACTAGATGTGCTGCAAGGAATGTTATTCGCCACTGGAGGCCGGAATCGGTCTGGGAGCCTCTCCACAGTCGAGCGTTACTCTCCACGAAGAAATGAATGGACAAATGTGTGTTGCTTGAAACGGCGGACTTGGGGACATGCAGGAACATCCAGTGGGGGCAAACTCTATATCTCTGGAGGCTATGGTATCACCGTTGAGGATAAGAAATCTCTTCTCTGCTACACTCCTGAAACTGACCTCTGGGAATTCAAAACCCCAATGAATGAGCCACGGGTCCTTCACTCAATGGTTGGAGCGAATGGACGGATTTATGCAATTGGTGGCCGCATGGACCATGTTGACCACTGTTTCGATGTCCTGGCAGTTGAATATTACATCCCTGAAACTGATCAGTGGACCAGCGTCAGTCCAATGAGGACCGGCCAGTCTGAAGCTGGCTGTTGTGTGTTGCAAAGAAAGATTTATGTGGTGGGCGGTTATAACTGGCACTTGAACAATGTGACAAGTATTGTGCAAGTTTATAATATCGGCACAGATGAGTGGGAGAGGGACCTACATTTTCCTGAATCATTGGCAGGAGTTGCCTGCGCCCCCCTTGTCCTCCCATAGCTTGTAGAGCAATGATAGCAAAGACACTGCTGCAAGACAGAATGGAGGAGCCAGAGGACCTTCAGTGTGACAATTCAAGTAACCATACAGTGACCTGTTTGATTTGAAACCTATTTAAACTCAGCCATTCAACAATATTCTGTAGAGATGTATTAAAAACCCATGTTGATGCTTAAATCAAATATTTGAATCCTCCCCACATGGCTTCAAATAGTGAAAGCAAAATGAAGCATATCAGAATTACAGATAAAAAGCTCCAGCCTGCTGTCACCCTGCATGCAATGTTACCTTTCCCCCCCAAACTCCCTGCAAACCACTGGTCCCACACATGTAAGATGTTCTAGCAGCTCTGTTGCCGTGCATGATACAAGTTTCTTGACTTCATTGTGCTAAAACTGGCAACAGTACAGCACACTGAATTGCTGAGCATTGGAATCTTTTGTGAAGCCAAACCCTCCCAAGATCCATGAGATATTCAGTTCCAATAATGATTCCATTGAATGTGCATTAAAAGTAAAGCTGGTTTTTCATGCTCAGCATGTGATGAACTCTTCAAATCAGGACAATAGCAAAATGCAGATGCTGGAAATTTGAATTAAAAGCAAAATTGCTGGAAAACCCACAAGATCAGACAGCATCTGTGGGGAGAGCAGTTAAGGTTTCAGGTCGATGAGTTTTCATCAGATAAGCACTGCCTCTCAATTTTTCTTCAGTTAATTTTGGAGTGATTGAATGTGAAACATCACTGTATTCCTAAATGTTATTTTTGCATGAAGCCTCTGTGAAGAACGCCAAAGCACTATCACTGGTTACAGCCATCCTCTCTAGAAAATGTGCTTGGACTCTAGCTATTTACAGTATACATGATTTAGATGAAGGAACTAAACTTTATATTTCCACATTTGCAGACAACACAAAGCTGGGTGGGTGAAATGAGGAGGATGCAAAACTGTTTGTGTGATTTGGACAAGTTGAGTGGGTAGACACATGCATGGAAGATGGGTATAATGTGGAGAAAAGTGAGCTTATCCACTTCGGCAGCAAAAACAGGAAAGCAGATTTTTACTTGAATGTAATGGATTGGGAAAGGGGGAGGTGCAGTAAGACCTGGGTGTCCTTGTACATCAGTGGCATGCAGGTGCAGCAGGGTGAAGAGGCAAGTGGTATATTTGCCTGCATAGGGAAAGGAATCAAGTACAGGAGCAGGTATGTCTTGCTGAAACTGTACAGGGCTTTAGTGAGACCACACCTGGAGAACTGTGTACAGTTTTGGTCACCTTATTTTACCAACCAATGAATTACCATTTTTCCTGTGACGTCACAATTTGCTTTGTGCTAAGCTCCTGATCCTGTGCTTCAATTTACCCTGTTAAAATGACAACCAGCAATGAGCCAAAAAAAGCAAGCACAAAGTACCTCTTCTCACGCTGCCTGCAAAGACCTGAACTATGTATTCACTCATGCTGTGTCTCATTCCAGACGTGATCTTTCCTTTGCTTACTGATTGTGCACTTTCAACAGATGTCCTCTTAAATAGAGCTGAGATGACCCACACTAGTTAAGTAATCAACACCTATGAGGCTCTGATCAAGCTTCAGTTGATTGACTGATGACTGTCCCTCAGTCAGCTGGTTAGTTACCTTGTTGACCTTTTAACTAAACCTCTAAACTTTAAACTTTTAACTTTTAAAATGGAGGAAGAAAAGAACGATTTGCTGGTCTCCCATGCTGACTCCAAAGTCCCCAAAGTATATACTCAAGCTTTGTCTCACTCCGAATTGATCTGTTCTTCCTGACTGTGCGAAGCTCACTGAATTAAAACAGAACTGGACAGGGTAAATGCAGAAAGGATGTTTCTGAGGACAGGGGAGTCCAGAACCTGGGGACCACAGATTAAGGATATGGGGTAGGTCATTTAGGACTGAGAAATGTCTTCACCCAGAGAGCGGTGAGCCTGTGGAATTCTCTGCACAGAAAGTAGTTGAGTCTAAACCAGCTACTTAAGGGTAAACCTACAACAGAAGAGTGGGAGGTGTTCCACAAGGAATTGGGGAAAGTACAGGCCTAACATGATCTGATTAGAGTGAAATGTAGGAGCAATAAGCCCAGAGAATCCTGCATGTCAAGGAATATTCCAAAATGGGTTAAAGGGAAAGGAAAGGCATAGAACAGGTACAAAGGGAACAAATCAATGGAGTTCCTAGTGGGCTGGGGTGGAGGAGGTCCTTAAGAAATCAATGGAGAGAGCAAAGAGGGAGAGTGAAAAAAAACAGTGCAGGCAAGCTTAGGGAGAATCCCAAGATTTCCTACAAGTATATGAAGGGGAAAGGCCTAACAAGGGGAAAGTAGGGACCAAGGGGAAAATTAGTACATGGAGCCAGAGGACAGTGGTAGTGTTATGGACCAGACCAATCCCCCTCAAAGTATATTCAGAAGATGGTCTAGACCCTAACGTCTTGTTACCTTAAAGGTAAGTGTAAGGTGTTGCATTCCAGATACAGTTCGATTGGTCAAACTACTCGATGTTAAGCAAACAATTTTTACTTTTACACTACAATTAAAATACGGATAAAATAAAAACCACTGAAGGAATTGGCTTAACTGTAACTCTATTGAAATGCTTAACAAAATATTAGATGTATTAACTAATACTAATTAACTGTTCCAATATAATAACATCCCATAAACACACCCTTGGCAAAGGCAAATTCAGTAAAATAGATGGGCTCTCATGTAATTCTAACAGCAGGAAGAGAACCCCAGCTTTTAGCTGTAACAGAGAGAGGAAAAGCAGCTTCAAGACCCCAGCAGCTGCTACTGAAAATGTAAAATTAAAAATGCTGCTTCTGTGGAAACTTGACCCCAACCATTCAGACTACTTGTATTGTTCCAAACTTTTAAATAAAAAGCACCAAGGCCTCACAAGCTGTTTATTGGATTCAAATAGACAGCTCAGGACCTCTGTCTTAAAACGTCTCTTCAAAAAGAAAACAGGACAAATACATCTCTTAAAGCCATAGTATCATCACACCCCCCCTTAAAAAAAAACCCATCAATATACAAAGATGGGTACATTTTTAAAAATCTTGATTCTTATGCTGTTAGTACACTACAATACATATACATTACGTTGACTCTAACCATGGAAACATTCACTACTACAGTCCATTTCGGCCAGTTTGTCCTGCCACCAAATGCCTCCATCTTCCTTCACCAAAGTTGTGACAGCATATCGGCAATTATGTTCTCTCATCCTAACATGTATATAATTTTCAAATTGAATGGCTGCAATAATAAGCTCCATGTAAACAATCTGGAATTTTTGTCCTTAAATTTCTCCAGGAACTTTAAGCGGTTGTAATCAGCATATTCAATTGACTCAGACACATTACTGGCAACATAAGTGTTGAAATGTTGCAATGCCAACATCAATCTCAAAGTCTCCTCCTCAATCATAGAATATTTCTGTTAATAATTATTCAATTTTCTTGAAAAATACCCAATACATATTTCTATCTTCTCATCTTGTTGCAACAAAACAGCACCGACACCCATATCACTTGCAGTGATGGCCGCCTTGAATGGCTTTGCGTAATTAAATGTGGCTAACTCTACGCAGTGGGTAACACAGCTTTCAGGCTGTCAAATGCCTTCTGACAGTCCTCCATCCATTGAAATTTTCTGCACTTCTACAAGTCAATCAGTGGAGCAACCACACTGCAAACATTTGGTATGAACTTCTGATAAAAACCACTCCATCCCAGGAATCATATAACTTCTGTCTTCGTCGATGGTATGGGAAGCTCCTCAATAACCTTTGTTTTCACGTCATGTGAGACCATCTTTCCATTTACAATGGCACGGCCCAGGAACATGATTTGGGCTTTTGCGAGCTCACTCTTAGCAAGGTTTATCACTAAGCCTGCGCCCTAAAGTTGATTGAATAATTCTGATAGATGCTTCAAATGTGTCTTTCGCATGTAACTAAAAATCACCAGATCATTGATGTACACTACACCATTGGGTAATCTCGAAATGACTATTGGTTAGTCTTTGAAATGTGGCTGGCGCATTTTTCAGACCAAATAGCATGACTTTAAACTGACTTTAAATTTCCTTCACACTTTCGGATAAAGGTACCTGTCAGTGTCCTTTAAGAAAGTCCAGCTGAGAGGTATAAGTTGTTTGTCCCACTTTCTTAATATAGTCTTGCAAACGTGGAATGGGATATGAATTAGACTTTGTAACTGCATTGACTTTGAGATAGTCCACTTATAATTATTGGATACCACCTGGTTTTGGCACCATTACTACGGGTGAGTTCCATTTGCTGCAGCTCATTTCAATTATATTGTCTTTGAGCATGCGTTCAAACCCTTTTTGAATCTGTACCAACCTTAGAGGGTTATGTCTATAAGGATGTTGCTTAATTGGAACACATTTTCTATATCTACATTATGTGTCATTAGTACTTTCCCAGCTTATTCCCACATATCTCCCCAATTGATTGTAATAATTCTTTCAGGTCATTTTGATATTCCTTTGGAAGTTAACTCTATTTTATCCCAATTTTTGAGAACTTCCTCATGTCTAATTTAATTTGAGGAACATCCAATTCAGAATCCCCTGAACTTGGCTCTTCACTCTGTGTTGAAACCAGTAACACATTCTCCTTTTGCTTTCCTTCCCTATCGAAATAACTTTTGAACATATTCACATGACACACTGAGAGATTTCTTTCTATCTGGCGTTCTTAGCAAATAGTTCACCTCACTCAATTTCCTTTCAATTTGATAAGGCTCACTAAACCTTGCCTTTAAAGACTCACCTACCATTGGAAGTAACACTAACACTTTATCTCAACCAGCAAAATGGCATTTTTTTGATTTATTGCTTGCTTCCTGTTTTATCGCATGCTGTGTTACTCTCAAATGCTGTCTCGCCAACTTATCCACTCTATTTAATTTTTGCTAAAGTTTGACACACAGTCCAAATATGTGGTCTTTGAACTCTGATTCACCAATTTCTCATTAACTAATTTCAGTGGTCCTCTCACCTCATGCCCAAAAACTAATGCAAATGGATCAAATTTAATTGATTCATTAGCAGTATCCCGAATTGCAAAAAGTACAAATAGAGTTCCTTTATCCCAGTCCTCTGGATTGTCTTGCGTGTAAGCCTCAACATGGTCTTTAAAGTTTGATGCCACCATTCTAATTCTCCTTGCGATTCTGAATGGTACGTGGTGGATTTGAAATGTTTTATTTCTAAGTTATCCATAACTTCCTTGAATAATTTTGATGTAAAATTTGACACTTGGTCTGATTTGTGTTTCTCCGGGTAGTCTGTATCCAGTAAAAAAAAATTGAGTAACTCTTCTATAATCCTTTTAGCTGTAATACTGCATAATGGAATGGCCACTGGAAATCTAGTGGACACATCCATTACGGTCAACAAATCATAGAATCCCTACAGTGTGGAAGCAGGTTGTTTGGCCCATCAAGTCCACACCGGCCTTCCAAAAAGCATCCAATCCAGACACCCCCCTCAACCCTATCCCTATAACACTGCATTTCCCAAGCCTAATCCACCTAGTCTGCAGCATCCCTGGACACTGTGGGCAATTTAGCATGGTCAATCCACCTAGCCTATACATCTTTGGACTGTCGGAGGAAACCCATGCAGACACACGGAGAATGTGCAAACTCCACACAGACAGTCATCCAAGGCTGGAATTGAACCAGGTCCTTAGCACTGTGAGGCACCAATGCTAACCACTGTGCCACCCCATACTGATTCCCACTTTTTGTTTTAGGGAGCGGTCCTTTGCAATCAATTAACTTGCTTGTAAAAGGTTCCTCAAATGTGGGAATGGGTATTAAGATTGCTGGTTTTATTGCTGCCTGAAGTTTTCCAATTACCTGACACGTATGATATGTCTGGCAAAAGTCAACCACATCCTTATGCAGTCCAGGTCAATAAAAATGTTTTCGTATTTTGGCTTGAGTTTTCCATATTCACAAATGACGACCCACTGATAATCATGCAGTAGGGGAGGCGATGGCCTAGTGGTTTTTTCACTGGACTGTTAATCCAGAGTCACAGATAATGTTCTCGAGACCTGGGTTCGAATCCCACGATGTCAGATGGTGGAATTTGAATTCAATAAATATCTGAAATTAAGAATCTAATGATGACGGTGAATCCATTGTCAATTGTTGGAAAAACCCATCTGGTTGCCTAATGCCCTGTAGGGAAGGAAACTGCCAACCTTACCTGGTCTGGCCTTCATGTGATTCCAGACCCACAGCAATTTGGTTGATTCCTAACTGCCCTCTGGGCAATTAGGGATGGGCAATAAATGCTGCCTAGCCAGCGACACCCTCATCCTGTGAATGTATAAAGAAAAAACAATACCGTCAACAACATTTTATAACCATGTTATTCTGAAGAAGGGTCTAGGCCCGAAACGTCAGCTTTCCTGCTCCTCTGATGCTGCTTGTCCTGCTGTGTTCATCCAGCTCTACATCTTGTTATCTCAGATTCTCCAGCATCTGCAGTTCCTACTATCTCTGAAACCATTTTATAACCCACCAGTTATACAACTTGATGAACTTCTGCCCATTTCTCATCCACCTGAATATGTGATGGTCTCCATTTCCTCATGAAGATGTCATTTGTAAGATAGTAACATTTTGGGATTCACTCAGATTCTTCTTCTCTGTATGCTTTTTGATGCAACTACTTTGGTTTTTCATCTTTCCATTGAAATTCAGTTAATTTTGCTGAACTAAAAATATCCACTTTGTCCTCCACATGTTCTTCTATCTTTATTCTTTGATTTCTCCTCCTACAGATAATGTCTGTAGGCTTCTGGTACTAGCTTATATGCCTTAAGATGCCATTTTTCACCTAATACTCGCCAGATACCTCCTCTGATAGTGATGCAAATATCTCACTAGCTTTACCAACCAACTTTGTTTGAATCAACATTACCCACATGGTTACTGGCCATTTCATTTGTTTAGCAATTTTTTCAAATGAAATGAAAAAGGTTCCTACATCTTTCTTGTCAAACTTAGGCAACGGTTGGACATATTTAAACAGATCCCCACCAGGACTTTAGCTATGAATGGGATTGCTCTCCATTGCTGTCCCCATCACCATTCCTACTTTTCACCTCAGCCCCACCATTTTAAATCAATTTTGAGTTTTCATTTCCAACCTTTGAAGTTCAAAAGTTCTCTCTTTCTTCTACGAGGAACTTCCCTTCCTTTTCTTTTTCCCCTGCTTTTAATCATAATACAAGCTGTTTCATTTCCTTTTCTCTTTTTGTTCTGCCAGGGCTATTCTTTCTTTGCTTTTACCGTTGCCATTGCCTCTAATTCAAGCTGCTTCATTTGCCGTTAAATTTTAGCCACTTCCAAAGATTCCGATGGCATTCCTGGCAATTATAAATGCTATGCAAATGCTACATATATCTCCCCTTTCCTCACAGACACAGGCAACCCCAATTCCAGCTTGTTTGCCAATTCCAAAAGTTTTGCCTTGCTCACTTTCTGTAAAACTCCTGATGTGACTTCTTCCACCCCTATGAAACTTAGTGACTGAAAGTGCCATTATTACATAAGGTACACCGTGTTTAAACCAACCGAATTCAACACCCAAAATAAAAAAGACCGACACTCACTGCCTTTGAGTCCAACGATGCTAAACCAAACCCAGAATTAGAGATTTTGATCCTGACAAGAGTCTCCAGTTTGTTATGTAAGGTATTGCATTCCAGATGCAATTCAATTGATCAAACCTCTCTACATTTTGCAAAACACACGTTATTTTTACACTACAGTTTAAAGGCAGACTAAATAAAAATAAAAGAATTGGCTTAACTGTAACTATCAAAATGCTTAACAAAATAATAGCTATATTAACAGCTGCAAATTAACTGTTTCAATGTCATAACACCCCATAAACACACCCTTAGCAAAGGGAAATTTAGTAAAACAGATTGTCTCACATGCAATTCTAGCAGCAAGAAGAGAACCCCAGCTTTTAGCTGTAATAGACAGAAGAAAAGCAGCTGCTACTGAGAAACTAAACCTAAAAATCCTAGTTCTGTGGGAGCTTGACCCCACCTATTCAGGCTGCTTGTATTGTTGCAACTTTTTAAAAAACCCAAGGCCTCACAAGCTGTTAACTTTATTGAATTCAAATAGATATCTCATAACCTCTGTCTTAAAACCTCTCTTCCAAAAAAAGGACAAAATACACCTCTTAAAGCCATAGTATCGTCACAGTACAGTGTTGCATGAGTACTTCAAATCTGTCTTCACTTTGGGAGAGGAGGATGTATATACAGAATTTAGGAAGGTGAACTGTGAGAATCAGATTAATGCAGGGAATGAGGAGGTTATGGTGGGATTAAAAGTGGACAAATCCCCATGTCCAGATGAGTTCTATCCCAGGCTCCTGTGGGAGAAAAGGAAGGAAATTACCAGGGCTGTGACCCAAATTTTTCATTCCTCTCTGGACATGGTAGATGACAGAGAGCTGGAGGACAGCTAATATGGTTTCACTTTTTGAGAAATGTGTTAAGAGATAAACCAGGGAATTCCAAACCAGTGACTCTCACATCAGTGGAAAGAAAACTTAGAGAAGATGCTTCATTTTCTTCAATTCTTCAATTAATTTTCATTTAAAGAGGCAAGGTTCAATGAAAGATAGCATAGCTTTGTCATAGGGAGATCATCTGAATTTTTTTAAGGAGATGACCAAGTGTATAGATGAGGGTTGTGTAATTGATGTAGTTTATATGTACTTCAGCAAGGTCCCATATGGGAAACTGATAAAGAAGGTGAGAGCATATGGGATCCAGGGCAACCTGGATCCAAAATTGGCTTGATGGAGGATTGTTGTGTGACTGGAGGTCAGTGCCCAGTGGCATACCAAAGGGATCAGTGGTGGGTCCCACAACGTAGATGAGAATGTTTGGTGGGGAGGTGCGTGGAAATGTGACTAAGTTTGCCGATGACACAAAGGTTGGCCAGATGGTTGACAGGAAGGAGGTCTTGGGTTACAGGGGCATATAATTGGTCATATGGACAGAGCAGTTGCAGTTGGAACTTAAGCCTGATAAGTCAGATGTGATGTACTTTGGCATAAGTAACAAGACAAAGGTAGGAATGGTAGGACATTAGATAGCTTAGAGGAACAAAGGGATCTTAGGGTACTTGTCCACAAACCGTTGACAGTGACAGGGCAGTTTAATGGGGTAGTTAAGGCATACAGGATACTTGCCTTTATCCATTGAAGCGTAGACTATGAAAGAAAAGAGGTTATATTGGAGCTGTACAAAACTTTGGTTAGACTACAGCTGGAGTATTGTGTGTAGTTCTGGTCAACCCACTTTAGGAAGGATGTGATTGTACTGAAGAGGGTGCAGAGGAGATTCACCAGGATGTTGACTGGGAAGGAGCGCTTTAGCAATGAAGGGAGGCTGGATAAGCTCAAGTTACTTTCTTTGGAGCAGAGAAGGTTGAGAGGGGAACCTGATAGAGGTGTATAAGATTATGAGGGTTATGGGCAGGCTGGAGAGAAAGCAGCAGTTCACGTTAGTTAAAAGGTTACTAATAAGGGAGTATACTTTTAAAGTGGAAGGAAAAAGGTTAGAAGGGATTTGAGGAAAACCTTTTCACCCAGAGGGTAGTGGGGTCTGGAATGCAGTGTCTAGGAGCACAGTTGAAGATGGAAACCTCACAACCTTTAAAAAATACTTGGATGAGCATTTGAAATGTCATAACATTGTGGGACTTGTGTAGTTTTAACAGCACAGACTCAATGGACTGAAGGGCCTCCTCTGTACTGTGTGATTCCATGATTATTTGGCTCAAATTAGAGGTGCAAAATCTGTAGAGAGTTGATAATACTGTACTTTAGTTATCCCAACACATCTTGGGACAGTAAGGCTGTACAGAGCAGAGAAAGGAAAACAGTTGCTTCAATATGTTCAGGAGAATTTTTCAGAAGTTTTTTATTGGCCGATGAGGAAGGATACGTTGCTGGATCTGATTCTGGGAAACTACTTTGTCAAATGTCAGTAGGGGAACATGATGTAGGGAGGCAGTGATTATTTGCATCCTAAGGTTCAAGGTTTTAGGTTTTCTGTGGAAAAGAACAAACAGCAATTCAGAACTATATAGTTAATTGGGAGAAAGCCAATTTCAATGGAGTGAGAATAGATCTATCACAATTAAATTACCATCAAAAATTGACTGGCAAAACTCTCATCGTACAATGGACAGGGGAGATAGAATGTGCCTCGACTGTCGACTGTAACAAACTAACAAGGGGGAAAGGTACAGAAAGCAAAACCAGAGCAACCTGAATAAAAGAGGTGGGG